TTTGTGTCCATCTAGTATTAATACTTGGCTTTAATGCTAGTAATTATAATTGATTGTTTGTTAGTATATTATTGTTTTTGTTTGTTGGTTGTGTTATTCAATTGTTAATTTGATTTGATTATTGTTAGTTAGGTATAGATAATTGAAGATTTTTATTTTAAGGTTTTTTAAAAAGAAATTAGGCATTTTTAAATTGGGCATTGTTAGTTAGTGAAGAATTAGCATTTTTATATTTTAGAACTAGTTTAAACTTGAGAATATGTAATTTGAGGTTAAATTGAGATTTTTTTGGATTTGATTTTAGGACTAGTTAGTAAAGTGTTAATTTGAAGTTAGAAATTAGTAATTGAAGTGTTATGAGTAGAAGATGAATGTTTGAATGTCATGAACTTAATTAGAATTTGAAGTTGAACAGAATGAAGTTGAACTTAGAATTTGAACTTGAACTTAGAACTTGAACTTGAACTTAGAATTTGAAGTTAAACTTAGAACTTGAACTTGAACTTGAACTTGAACTTGAAAAAAAACTTGAACTTAGAACTTGAACTTGAACTTGAACTTAGAACTTGAACTTAAACGAATTGAACTTAGAACTTGAACTTAGAACTTGAACTTAGAACTTGAACTTGAACTTAGAACTTGAACTTGAACTTGAACTTAGAACTTAGAACTTGAACTTGAACTTAAACTTGAACTTAAACTTAGAACTTGAACTTGAATTTAGAACTTGAACTTGAACTTAGAACTTAGAACTTGAACTTGAACTTAGAACTTGAACTTGAACTTGAACTTAGAACTTGAACTTAGAACTTGAACTTGAACTTAGAACTTGAACTTGAACTTGAACTTGAAGTTAAACTTAATTTGAACTTAGAACTTGAACTTGAACTTGAAATTAGAACTTGAACTTGAACTTGAACTTAGAACTTAGAACTTGAAGTTAAACTTAGAATTTGAACTTAGAACTTGAACTTGAACTTAGAACTTGAAATTAGAACTTAGAACTTGAACTTGAACTTAGAACTTGAACTTGAAATTAGAACTTGAACATGAATTAGAACTTGAACTGAACTTAAACTTGAACTTGAACTTGAACTTAGAACTTGAACTTGAACTTGAACTTGAACTTGAACTTGAACTTGAACTTGAACTTGAACTTGAACTTGAACTTAGAACTTGAACTTAGAACTTGAACTTGAACTTAGAACTTGAACTTGAAATTAGAACTTGAACTTGAACTTAGAATTTGAACTTGAACTTGAACTTGAACTTGAAGTTAAACTTAGAATTAACTTAGAACTTGAACTTGAACTTAGAACTTGAACTTGAACTTGAAATTAGAACTTGACTTGAACTTGAAATTAGAACTTGAATTGAAGTTAAACTTAGAACTTGAACTTAGAACTTGAACTTGAACTTGAACTTAGAACTTGATCTTGAACTTGAAATTAGAACTTAGAACTTGAACTTGAACTTAGAACTTGAACTTGAACTTAGAACTTGAACTTGAAATTAGAACTTGTTGAACTTGAACTTGAACTTGAACATGAACTTAAATTGAAGTTGAACTTAGACTTGAACTTGAAATTAGAACTTGAACTTGAACTAATTAGCTTGAATATATAACTAATTAATTTTAGAAATTAGATATGAACTTGAATTGAAAACTTGAACTTATTAAAACTTGAATATATATATATAATATATACTAATATTCTTGGATTTGAAGTTTATATATAACTAATTTTAGAACTTTTCGTGCTAGGCAACTGAGGAAGCTCAACATCTAAAAAAGTTGATATAAGACTATATTGCTTCTTTCATCAAAGTAGAGATAAGGTTGGTGCTTTAAATTTCTAAATTCAAGTACAATTGTTTTCAATAATGTGTTTGTTCCATGTAGTGTTGATACTAGCTTTAAATTTAGAAATAATATATTTGTTAAGCATAAATATCAACACTAGTTGATCCTATTGATGACAAAATTGATTTTCTTGCAAGATCGATTTGTGTCCATCTAGTGTTGCTATTAAGCTTTAATTTAGGAAAATGTGTTTGTTAAGCATAAGTATCAACACTAGTTGATCCTATTGATGACAAAATTGATTTTCTTGCAAGATCGATTTGTGTCCATCTAGTGTTGACACTTAGCTTTAAATTTAGAAATAATATATTTGTTAAGCATAAATATCAACACTAGTTGATCCTATTGATGACAAAATTGATTTTCTTGCAAGATCGATTTGTGTCCATCTAGTGTTGCTATTAAGCTTTAATTTAGGAATAATGTGTTTGTTAAGCATAAGTATCAACACTAGTTGATCCTATTGATGACAAAATTGATTTTCTTGCAAGATCGATTTGTGTCCATCTAGTGTTGACACTTAGCTTTAAATTTAGAAATAATAAATTTGTTAAGCATAAATATCAACACTAGTTGATCCTATTGATGACAAAATTGATTTTCTTGCAAGATCGATTTGGTTGTCCATCTAGTGTTGCTATTAAGCTTTAATTTAGGAATAATGTGTTTGTTAAGCATAATATCAACACTAGTTGATCCTATAGATGACAAAATGATTTTCTTGGAAATCGATTTGTGTCCATCTAGTGTTTGACACTTAGCTTTAAAAAGTTGTTAAAGTTATAAAGTTGTTAAGTTGTTTAAATAAGTTAAATTAAATAATGTGGTTTTGTTGATGGATTTAGTTGTTGGAATTAAGTCAAAACTAATGTAGTTAAAGTTAAAAAGTTGTTAAGTTGTTTAGATAAATTAAAATAAATAATGTGATTTAGTTGGTGGATTTAGTTGTTGTATTAAGTCAAAACTAAACTAGTTAAAGTTGTTATGTTTTTTATATAAGTTAAAATAAATAATGTCGGTTTAGTTAGTGAATTTAGTTGTTGGAATTAAGTCAAAACTAATGTAGTTAAAGTTCAAAAGTTGTTATGTTGTTTAAATAAGTTAAAATAAATAATGTCGGTTTAGTTAGTGAATTTAGTTGTTGGAATTAAGTCAAAACTAATGTAGTTAAAGTTAAAAAGTTAAGTTTGTTTAAATAAGTTAAAATAAATATTGTGGTTTAGTTGGTGGATTTAGTTGTTCGAATTAAGTCAAAACTAAACTAGTTAAAGTTGTTAAGTTGTTTAAATAAGTTAAAATAAATATGTCAAAACTAGTTAGACTTAGAAAGTGGTTAAGTTGTTTAAATAAATTCAAATGTTATTTAGTTGATGGAATTAAAATTATCATTATTGTTTGTGTAGATGAATCCTGATCGTAGTTGGATGTATAATAGAAACAATCCTGGTCGAGCGGGTATGATTCCAGAATTTGCAGAAGGTGTCACTAGATTTATAAATCATGCAATGACACTTGATGATTTTTTAAATTGATTGATGGTGTAATTGTGAAAATGTGAGATATCATACAACAGAGACTGTTGCTATGCATCTTATGATGAATGGATTCAAACCAGGGTATACAGTTTGGACTAGCCATGGTGAGGTTGAAAGTGACACTATGTTTAATAACTTTGTTGTCGGTGAAAGTAGTAGATCTACCGAGGCATAATTATTTCCAAGGTTCTAGAATGTCAGATATGATTAATGATGCTTTTGGGATGCATTCTGATTTTGAACAAGGAGAAATGTAGAAGAAGCTCCTAATGAAGAAGCAAACATCTTTTATGAACAATTGCGTGATTGTAGTAGTCCTTTTGTTCAACGGGAGTCAACACTCTAAATTGTCTGTTGCAGTTAGATTGTTAAGTATCAAATCTGACAATAATATTTCTCAAGGAGCAATGGACTCTATGATAGAACTTATGAAGGAATTAGTTGATCCCAATGTAGAGATTCTTGATTCTTATTATAAAGCAAATGCATTGGTGTCTAAGTTAGGACTCTCCTCGATAAGAATTGATTGTTGTGAAAAAGGTTGCATGTTATACATAAGGAGGATGTCAATCTAGAGTCTTGTAAGTTTTGTAGTCACCCTCGCTATAAGATTGGTTTCTACCGGAAAGAAACTTGCTATTAAGGCGATGCATTATTTACCTCTTATACCAAGATTGAAAAGGTTGTATGCATCAAATAGCTCTGCTCCTCATATGAGATGGCACCGTGAAAATAGAAGGCCACCTGGTGTCATGTGTCATCCATCTGACGAGAGGCTTGGAAACATTTTGATAGAACTTATCCAGATTTTGCTGCTGAACCAAGGAATGTTAGGCTGGGTTTGTGTGCGGATGGTTTCACCCCTTTTTCAGTTGGGGCTACACCATATTCTTGTTGGCCTGTGTTTATTACACCGTATAATCTTCCACCTGAGATGTGTATGACAAGCCCGTATTATTTCTAAATTGTGTCATTCCTGGTCCGAGTAATCCAAAAAGCAAGATTGATGTGTACTTACAACCTTTGATTGATGAGTTGAAATTGTTGTGGTCTGAGGGGGTAGAAACATGGGACATTTCTCGTAAACAAAATTTCAACATGCGTGCTACTTTAATGTGGACTATTAATGATTTTCCTGCCTATGGAATGCTATCTGGATGGATGACAGCTGGAAAGTTAGCATGTCCCTACTGTATGGAAGATACTAAATCATTCACATTAAAACATGGCCGAAAGAATTCATGGTTTGATTGTCATCGTCGGTTCTTGCCACCTGATCATGAGTTTAGGAGAAAGAAATATGCATTTAAAAAGAATAAAACTGAACGAGATGGTCCACCCCCAATATTAACGGGTGATGATATTTGGGAAAGGGTTCAAAATTTTCCAAAGGTAACTGAGGAACCACTGTACAAATTTGATGGGTATGGTGTTGCACATAATTGGACTAAACAGAGTATATTCTGGGAGTTACCTTATTGGAAGGATAATTTGCTTAGACATAATCTCGATGTCATGCATATTGAAAAGAATTATTTTGATAATTTGTTCAACACTGTAATGGATGTAACTGGCAAGACAAAAGATATGTTAAGGCTAGACTTGACTTACCAAACATTGTAGATGACCGGAGTTGCATTTACAGGAGTCTGCCAACAACAAGTTACTTAAGCCCAAGGCTAGTTATTCATTCACAATGGAACAAAAGAGAAAAATTTGTGAGTGGGTGGAAAGCTTGAAAATGCCAGATGGATATGCCTCAAATTTGGGAAAGAAGGTTGACATTGAGCGTGGAATATTGCATGGGATGAAAAGTCACGACTGTCATGTTTTTATGGAACAATTACTTCCGATTGCTTTTTGTGGATTGCCTGAAAACATATGGAAACCGATGGCAGAAATCAGTTTGTTCTTCAAAGACTTGTGTTCCAGCACATTGATAGTAGAGAATCTGGTTCGGATGGCCAAAAATATAGTTGTTATTAGTAATAAGTTGGAGAAGATTCTTCCACCTGGGTTCTTTGATGTGATGGAACATCTTCCTATTCACCTTGTTCATGAAGCTCTACTGGGAGGTCCACTTCAATATAGGTGGATGTATCCTTTTGAGCGGTAAGTAACTATAACACATTTATTCTTATTTCATAAATCGTTAATATATCTTTTGAAATTATATATCTAATATAAAATTTTACAGGAGCATTGGCAAGTCTAAAAGGGGTATTAAGAATAAACATAGGGTGGAGGGCTGTATGGCTCAAGTATATCTAGCTAAAGAAAGATCCCACTTTTGTTCTTACTACTTTGATGATTATGTGTCGTGTTTGAGAAACAGACCTAATCGACATGATGTTACTGGGAATGATCCTGCAGTACAATCATTATCAATCTTCAACCAACCGGGTAAGGGTTCAAAAAAGCGTACATTGCACAAACTTACCGAAAAGGAGAAAAAATCTGCAGAGCTTCATGTCTTGTTGAATTGTCCAGAAGTCCAACCCTTCTTAGAGTAAGAAAATTAAATATGTAAACAACATATATTCAACTCTGATTTTATTAAGGAAACTAACTGTATTTTCAATGTGATTCTACAGTTATTTTGTGAGCCAATATGGTGATGATCAAGTGTTTCCATCATTTATAACGTGGTATACTAATTGGGTAAGTGTTGTAATATATACACCTACTAAGAGATTAGTGTACTCTTCCTTCTACTAACATTGCTTTTAATTTACTAATTATATATAGGTCTACAATTCAGAAAATGCCGCCACATTTGATCAATTTTTCAAGGATATTTCTTGGGGACCGATTACAGTTCACACAATGTCCCAATATAACGTAAATGGTTTTAAATTTGCCACAGAGAAATACTCAAAGAATAAGAAAACTAATAATAGTGGTGTTTGGGTTAAAGGTGATAATGGAAATCAAAATGAGAATGTTGATTATTTTGGCGTCCTACAGGAGATTGTAGAGTTGGAGTATTCGGGTTGGCCAATCAAAAGAATAGTACTTTTCCAATGCAAGTGGTTTGATCCAACTCCAAGAGGTACGAGGGAGCTTAAGCAGCATAATATCATTGAAGTCAATCACACTAGGAAGTATGAGGCATATGATCCTTTTATTATTGCACAAAATGCTAAGCAAGTGTACTATGCTCCTTATCCGTTGCGTAGGGATAAGTCTAATTGGTGGGTTGTAATCAAAACAAAACCGATGGGGCGAGTGGAAGTTGAGAATGAATTGGATGTTGCATATCAAAATGAAATATCAAGTGTTCATCAAGTAGTGGATGCTGAGTTAGAAATGAATTTGGAGCATCCTGATCATATTTTAGAAGAAGTTAATAGAAAAGAGTTAGATATGCCAACAAATAAGGAGGAGGATGAGGAGGAAACTTTCGAAGAGGATGAATGGATAGATGAGGAGGAAACTTCCGAAGATAATGCATGTGAATGGATAGATGATGAAGAAACTTCCGAAGAGGATGAATAACAATTTGTATGTTTAGTTGGTGGATTTTTAGCTATTCATATTTGAGTATACTTTATATTTTAGTAGTTTTAACGTTTGTTTGACATTGTGAAAGACTATTTGGATTAAGCCTTATGTTATGATATATTTGTTCGAGATTGTGACATTATTTTGTACTACTTTGTTTTAATCTTTATATTTATTTGATATAGATGGTAGATAAAGACAAGGGTAAATAAAAAAAATCCGATAATCCGAAAAAGAAATTTAAGGCCAATGCTATGAGAAGGCCCACTGGGGTCGTGATATCTGATGAGCCCTCTCGAGTTAATATTTCAAAAAAAGCCTCAGTTTCAACTACTCACTCGACACACCAGTCACATAATGCCTCTATTCATGTGTCTCCACAATCTGGTTATACTATATCTACACCCGCTGTGGTACCTAGTTCGGGTTACCAAACATTGCAGGGCTATTCACATCTTGGTCGTGGGTCTAACATACCATCAGCTAGTGCTAGTCAGTGCAATAGTTTGAATACTAGTAGTGGATCAATTGGACTTTCCAATCTTCATATTGAATCCAATGGCTCAGAGCCTAATACTCCTACCACCCAGCACTCAGATGCACATGGTCCTCAGCCAGGCGATAGAGACAATTTTCGGAGACTCGTCATCAAGCCATTAGGATACAAGTATGATTTAATTATGTTTCATCTTTCATTTATCTATTTATATTTTAATTGGTTGATTATTTTTTGTTTACTCTACTTCGTCAATAAATTCGTATTTCAGCTTACGTCCGGATGTGGGTATGGCAAAGATTATTTTAAAGTGCATTGGAACTCACTATAATGGTGTGTATCCGAATTGGAGTTCGATTCCACTTAACAACCAAGGGCAGATGTTCAATGAATTTAAGGTAATAATATATATAAATTAAATTCATATCATATACATTTAAATTCTCTAGTCATTTGAACAATAAATATTTAGTAATTTTTTATTACAGAAATATTATGTATGGGCTCTCGAACACGAGGATGACGTTCAAGTGAACTTCAAGCTTAAAGCTTCAAAGTTGCTTTCTAGCACATTTTGTGATTGTCGAAAAAAAAATAGAATGCCTAAGTTTATGTTTCCGGAGCGATGGGCTTTGTTACTGAAACATTGGAGTACTGATGAAAAATTTAAAAAGAGGAGTGAGATTGGGAAGATGGCTCGCGCATCAGAAAAGGGAGGCTCTTTGCACACTGGTGGAGCTATTAGCCAGGTTACTAGGAAGGAAAGAATGGTATACTTTCTTAATTTAGTAAAATAATTTTTTTCTTTTTTGATAAGTACTTTTTGGAGATTAATGAGATCAAATTCTATATATGTTATTTGCAGGAAAAAGAGTTGGGTAGGCCGGTAGCTGTACCAAAGATGTTCAAGGTTACTCACGTCAAGAAGAGTATGAACCCCACAGAAGAAGAAAGATGGATTGAGCCACGTGCTCAAGAGACATATGTAAGAACTCCATTCAAACTAATTTGTTTTTCTTTTCCTTGTATATATTACATTCTTATTCATTGAGTTCTTTGTTTAAATTACAGGATAGGTATATGCGAATATCTCAGGAATATCGTAGTACTCTACCTCTTGAGAGTCAGGACAGACCATTTACACAAGAAGAAAACGAGAATCTTTGGAAACAGAGTGCTGGTGAACCGATTAGAGGTTCAATCTACGGCTATCCAGAAAAGGCGTATCAGAAGAAGAAGTCTTGGTATTGTGGTTCATCATCCTCAAGCTTTGATGGTGGGGATAGAGAGACAATATCTGCAATGGAGAGTAAGATAACTTATCTCAATGCCGAGCTTGCTGCTGTAGCCGAAAGAGAGAAGAAAGAGAGAAGAAGAGAGAGGAGGAGATTGCGGCAGCAAAGGAGGTAGAGAACAAGAGGTATGCAGCGCTTCAGGCCCAACTAACTTTTCTTTTTGAATCAGGAAATATTCTTCCTCCATGTCCGGCTAGCAGTGATGGATCTGATCAGGAGGGTGATGAGAATGATAAGGAGAGTGAGGGTGATGAAGAGTAGTTGTATCTATTTGACATTTTAGACTTCTATATTTTTAGAATTGTTTAATTTGATCGTATTTTAGTTTATTTTGAAGTTGGATGAAGTTTATTTTGAAATAGTTTGTATATGTTGAAAATATTGTGTTGTTTTGGTTGGATGAAGTTTATTTGGCTTTGGTTGTTTTGGTTGGATGAATTTTATTTGGCTTTGGTTTGTTTTGGTTGGATGAAGCTTATTTGGCTTTGGGTTGTTTTGGTATAAATATGCAGGTGGGCAACTAAAAATTGCAGCAATTTGCTGCCTGTTTTGCAGCAAAAAACCGACATCCGGAGGTCGGAATTTCAAAAATAAAAAATAAAAATACCGACCTCCGGAGGTCGGAATTTCAACATTACAAAAATAAAAATACCGACCTCCGGAGGTCGGAATTTTAACATTACAAAAATAAAAATACCGACCTCCGGAGGTCGGAATTTCAAAATACAAAAATAAAAATATCGACCTCCGGAGGTCGGAATTTCAACATTACAAAAATAAAAATACCGACCTCCGGAGGTCGGAATTTCAAAAATACAAAAATAAAAATACCGACCTCCGGAGGTCGAAATTTCAACATTACAAAAATAAAAATACCGACCTCCGGAGGTCGGAATTTCAACATTACAAAAATAAAAATACCGACCTCCGGAGGTCGGAATTTCAAAAATACAAAAATAAAAATACCGACCTCCGGAGGTCGGAATTTCAACATTACAAAAATAAAAATACCGACCTCCGGAGGTCGGAATTTCAACATTACAAAAATAAAAATACCGACCTCCGGAGGTCGGAATTTCAACATTACAAAAATAAAAATACCGACCTCCGGAGGTCGGAATTTCAACATTATAAAAATAAAAATACTGACCTCCGGAGGTCGGAATTTCAAAAATACAAAAATAAAAATACCGACCTCTAGAGGTCGGAATTTCAACATTACAAAAATAAAAATACCGACCTCCAGTGGTCGGAATTTTAAAAAATGAATATTTCGATATAAAATAAAAATCGACCTCAAGAGGTCAGTAAATACCGACCTCCAGAGGTCGGTATTGAATAGCGACCAAGCTTTTTCCGACCTAAGCTGGGATGTCGGTTTTAGGTCGGTATTTCAAGGAATACCGACCTTCGGAGGTCGGTATTCACAGTTTTTTTAGTAGTGACAGACTGACTGCTTCACAAAACCTTCACTGAAGCGACTTCTTTATTTCTCTACCTATGAACCTAACGGTCATAAATTTCAACTGGCACTTCTGCATAAGTGAGACTGTCATTTAGCCGCACTCTCTAATGGTACTATTGATGTTGGATCACCCACACATTTCTTTAACAATGAAATGTGAAAGACTGGATGAACCGCTACTAGTTCTGCGGGTAACTCTAACTCATATACCACATTACCAACCCTTTTCAGGATCATGTAAGGACTTACATATCTATGATCGGGGTTCCCTTTCTTGCCAAATCTTATCACCCCTTCATAGGTGACACCTTCAGGAAAATCCAATCATCGATTTCAAACTTTAAGTCCCTTATCCTTACATTTGCATAGGATTTTTGACTACTCTGGAATGTCTTTAGTCTATCTCTGATGAGCTGAACTTTCTCCATAGCTTTATAAACTGAATCAGGCCCACTCAATGCTGCTTCATCTATTTCAAACCAACCAATCGGGGACCTGCATCTATGCCCATATATTGCCTCATAAGGGGCTATCTTAATACTTGAATGGAAGCTATTATTTTAGGCGAGCTCTATGAGAGGTTGTTTATTATCCCAACTACCCTTGAAATCGATCACCCAAGCTCTCAACATGTCCTCTAAGGTATGAATGGTAAGCTTTACCTCACCATCCATCTGCGGATGAAATGTCGTAATGAGATTTATCTCAGTACCAAGACATTTCTAAAAAGATTTCCAGAAATTAGAGGTAAACTGAGGACCTGTATCTGAGATGATACATAAGGGAACCCTATGCAACCTGATTATCTCATGGATGTGGAGTTTGTCATAGTCCTCCGCTGAATCTATAGTCTTGACAATTAAGAAGTGAGCGAGCTTAGTGACTCTGTCTACTATCACCTAAATGGAGTCTTGTTGTCTGCGAGTACGAGGTAAACCCGTAATTAAGTCCATATTTATCACTTCCCACTTTCATGTAGGAATGTTAATCTTATAAGTCATACCTCCTCATTTTTGATGTTCTACCTTAACCTATCGACAGTTAGAACACTTAGCCATAAAATCTGATTATATCCCTCTTCATGTCATTCCACCAAAAGTCTTCCCGTAGATCACGGTATATCTTAGTTGCACCTGGATGAATGTAATACCTGGATTTATTCTGTAAGTATCTACTTCCTCAACTCACCCACATTAGGAACACATAAGTAACCCTGCTAACGAAGCACACCATCTCCCCCTTGGGAGAAAACCTCAACATTTTATTGATGAACTGCACCTTTAAACTAAAGTAATATAGGATCAACGTCCTATTTTCCTTAACCTCCACTACATATGAAGATTTTGATCCATTCTTAACTATCACCCCACTGTACGATGTGTTTATAAGACAAACTCCTAAGTGAGCAATCCGGTGAATATCTTTGGCTAACTCCTTCCTTTCATCCTCAACATGCCCAACACTACCCATACACAACCTATTGAGAGCATCATCTACTACATTGGCCTTTCCAGGATGGTAAAGCATATTCATGTCACATTCTTTGACGAATTCAAGCCATCTCCTCTGACGAAGATCCAACTTTTTCTGGGTGAACACATATTGGAGGCTCTTATGATCTATGAATACATCAACATGAACACTATACAAGTAGTGTATCTAAATATTTAGAGTAAATACTACGGGTGTAAGCTCGAGGTCATGAGTTGGGCAGTCCATATCATGGACCTTATGTTTC